ATATATATATTTATAGGTTGATCGATTCCATATTAAAAAATATTTATATTTTATATTTACAAAAAAATATTTAAATATTTAAAGCTTTAATAACTTAAGCATTAAAGCATTAAAGCAAAATATTTTAATCGATTTAAATGGTAAAAACTAATGAAAGCCAATATGCCATATCACCTTAAAATTACATAGTTTTTTTCTTTTCTTGCAACTTTTAAATAGAATACGTTTTTTTAGATATTGAATATATTTGCAAAATATTATTATTATAAACTATAAAAGAAAAATAAAAGATAAATTTTAGTACTTTAAATAAAAAACAAAAAAAATAAAGAAAAAATAAAGAACAAATAAAGAAAAAAATAAATTTAATTTTTATTTCGATAAAAAAAATTTCTATGAATCACATATTTATACAAATATTGCAAATAAATATTAATAATAAATAAATTATATATATAGTTATTTAAAAATTAAAAAAAATTATCAAATAAATTCCCACCATTTTCGATTAAAATATTTTTAATGAATCGCCTTCAATTTGTGATGTTGGTAATTTAAGAATTAATGAAGATTCAATAGATTTAAAAGCTTTCGCAAAAAATTTCGATTTATTTACCAAATAAGTTGGTAAGTTATTGTTAGCGAATTCATCTTGCTGGGATCTGAAGCAGAGAATATATTATGAATGGATCGTTTATATTTTCATTATATATAGAAATTATTTTTTATATATTATATATAGAAATTTTTTTGAAAAAGATTTTTAAAAAAAAAGTTGTAAAAAAATTTATTGAAGGGATTTATTATGGATGAACGAATGAAATTGCAAAAGGACCAAACTGGAAGGAAATTTTTTTTCACCATGAATGGAAAAATTCTATATTTTGTAGTTTAACGATGTTTAGCTGGTTTAACAGTTCGTGATGTTTATAATTTACAAGGCATTTCTCATTCAGAAATATATATACATTCAGAAGTATAAAAATATATGTACACCAAAGCCAAGTTCCTAAGCAAATAGTTTCATTTTAAAAAACTTTAAATAGTTTTTTTTTCTTTTGACTTTTCACAATTTTTGTTATGTCAATAGAATATTTAAAACAAATTCAAAAAAAAGAAAACGAGTCGAAAAACAAAAATTTAGAAAAAATAGCGAAAAATAGCGAGAAATAGCGAAAATTTTTTCCCCAAATTTTATGAAATTTTTATAGATTTTTATAAATAGTTGAATATGCGGACGATCCAACAGACACATCACTTACGATAACTTTCAATGATTCGATAATAATGCCAAATTTTGCAATTTCTAAGTCAAAGCCACAAATCATTAGCCATTTAATAAGCCAAATTTAGTAATTTTGTTGATTAAATGATTAAATTCTCGGAAATTATTTTTCATTTATTAAAATAAGCTGATAAACTGATAAAGAAATCTCAAAAGGTTTGTGATGTTGATAAAATCTAATTATAGGTGATAGGTATGTATGGCGTGATAAACTTAAAGAAGGACGAAATAATATTTCTTTTTAATGTATATCAAATTCTATATATGGTGTATCAAACTATAGTCCCATCAGTGCAACAAGCGTTAGCTTTGAAGTACATGAAACTGAAATTAGTACCTGAAAGGATTGTGTATGTTCTACAGCAAGTAAAATGAAAATGAAATGATAGCATTTATCAAATCAAAATAGATTTATTTTTTTGATAAAATTTTTTATTGGAATTATCAGCTGTAGATCTTTTTCATGTTATACTTCAAGTTATCAAGAATTATTACTATTAAAGTAAAATTTGCAAAAGAATTATTGTAAAAAAATTACAACTTCTAAAACTTAAAATTGCAATGCCATATGCCATATTACTATGAAAAAATGTTTCAGAAAAAATAAAGTTATTTCTTCTAATATAAAAAAGATTATAAAAAATTATAATAAATATATATATATATATATATACATATATATATTTATAGGTTGATCGATTCCATATTAAAAAATATTTATATTTTATATTTACAAAAAAATATTTAAATATTTAAAGCTTTAATAACTTAAGCATTAAAGCATTAAAGCAAAATATTTTAATCGATTTAAATGGTAAAAACTAATGAAAGCCAATATGCCATATCACCTTAAAATTACATAGTTTTTTTCTTTTCTTGCAACTTTTAAATAGAATACGTTTTTTTAGATATTGAATATATTTGCAAAATATTATTATTATAAACTATAAAAGAAAAATAAAAGATAAATTTTAGTACTTTAAATAAAAAACAAAAAAAATAAAGAAAAAATAAAGAACAAATAAAGAAAAAAATAAATTTAATTTTTATTTCGATAAAAAAAATTTCTATGAATCACATATTTATACAAATATTGCAAATAAATATTAATAATAAATAAATTATATATATAGTTATTTAAAAATTAAAAAAAATTATCAAATAAATTCCCACCATTTTCGATTAAA